AAAGAGAAACGTTTGGGCTTTCAGGATTTTTTCTTCTGTCTTTTTTTTTTTTTTTTTGGTTTTGTTCTGTTTTGTTTTGTTTTGGTTCGGTTTTAAATTTTTCTTGCAATATTAGAAAACATTAATGAAAATCTGCCTTAAAAATAGTATGTTTAGCCCATTTAAACTGCAGCCTATGAAACACTCATGGTTTTAATTGTGTGAAAAACTTTGGAAAGCTGCAAACATGAAAGACGTGTGAAGGACAGACAGAGTCAGAGGCTATTCATGGGTCAGCAATTAGTCTTTTATAATACTGGCCAACACTAGTATTTCTGAAAATCCCTTAAAAGCTCATGCAGTGGCACAAGTGAGTTCCAGCTGCTAAAGCTTCTTTTTTGGGCAAGTGTCCAGCTGTGGATCAGCGGTTGAGAAAACCTGGGAGCAAGGCTTGAAGTTCTTTTGGATGGGCACTTTGCACTCAGAACAGGAAAGGGCAGATACTGGTAGCACCACTAACAACACGCACCATTTTGTCAGCTTTCTTTGGTATCCCATCACAGTTTCTGCAAGTTTTCTCTAACAGGGTGTGAATTTCAGAATGTTCATTCAACATGGACTAAGCAAAAAGAATTGTCTTTGCCATTATTGAATGGAGGCCAGTTTGAATTTCAGAGTAGTAGTAAAGCACCCCATCAGGATCTGATCGTTGACACTGTGCTTATTTACTGGAACAATTAAAAAGACCCAAATGGCTGATACCTTGTTAGTAAGAATGGAACTGGTAATTTCTCAGTATTAGGAAGTCTCACTTGTGTGACTTGAAGCTATCTTAGGGAGATGGTTTTTAAGTGCCTTGTATGCTGGTGAAACTAGAGAGGGGCTCACATATACTGGCTGATTTGTAATAAGCATTATAAATGGATGTGGTTTGTGTAAAGACTTGAACTTTCAGGTAAGGATGTAGGAGATGGGGAATAGATCAGCAGTATCTCTGTTGTGTGAAGTTCTTGTCCAGGTGGGATCAGTTGTTTCTTCCTTTGTACACAGATGGTTATACAGTAGGAGATTCATTCATTAGTGCCTTTGGTGGTGGGATGATTATATGGATGGGTAGAGGGTAGGCAAGGATGACATAAATGACTCTTCCCAGCAGAGTTACAGTCAGCACAAGTCTGGTCCATATCACAGGAGACAGACTACAACAGGCAAGGCATAGACTACAACAGTTTATGTATAGCGTGTAGTTAGAGCATAGGTCATCTCTTGCTGCAGTGTGAAGACACATGGATGTATTTTGCCACTGAGGGACAGTGTTGTTTTATCCTTCTTCTCATAAAAATGCTTTATCATTCAGAATGTTCACAATATGAGGAGGCTTAATTAAAGTCCCTAAGGATGCCCAGACCTAGTGAACCATGCAGCATTCTAAGTTGCAGACTTGTGAAGGGTGGGGTTGAGACCTCCATCTTGCAGTATTTATCTATGGAGACTGGAATAACAGAAACTTGCCACAGTGTAATGTTGATTTCAGTGGAATAAGTAGATGTCAAAGTCAAGTTGATATGATTGTTACTGTATAGCCCTGAGCCTGTTAAACTGCTTGCAGAATCCAACATAGAAATCTCAAACTGCACACTCCTGTGCTTTCTAATGCAAAGGGTTAGCTGAACATGGATGAAGAATATGAAGGCTCTGAGCATCTAATTCCACTTCAAAAAAGTGTAATAGCATCCACAGCAGAGAAAGAATTGATGTCATTGCATGAATTCCATCAAGAAGGTCAAGCCCATACTTTTCTTATGTCAGATGTCAACATGTCTGACTTCCACTGTAAAGCCTTAAAGACAGTGAGCTATGATTAGTTGCTCAGAGACAAGGCAACTGTCAATGTGTGTTTTCCTCAGGCCATTGTTGCCTGAGGTCGCTGTCTGTGCAGCAGTGACTGCTGGGAAGGTTTTCCTTTGAGCAAAGGTGCTCAAAGGTGCTGGGATGCACCCAGGTTGTATTCTGCCTTGCCAAACAATGTGTATAGCCAGTTGGCCCCAAATAACCTGCAACTCCATTTTGCTTTCGTCTCATGTTAGGCAGTGCTCCTCATGCCGTGTAGGAACATGCAGGTGGTGTAGGTATAGGAATAGGAATCTTTGCATGCCCAGTGGAGCTGTTATTTAATATTTCAATGTGTTTCTTTTCTGTCCATCTTTTCCTGAAGCCCTCCTTTACCTCACAGCCGTGCTGACCTGTTTGACCTGAGCAAAGACCAAGAGCTGAACCTTGCCTACATTTCTTCTGTTCCACATGGCGGCATTGAACAAGTTCGGATTCACTGGTTACTGGAATTAGTTGCTCTTAGGTAAGCAAACACCTCAAGCTGAAGTCTAGGAAAATGTGATACATTAAAGGGTCCATCCAACAGGTGCTCACTTTGATGTTTATCTTAGCTGAATTGCAAGCTGGGCGTAATTTTGCTTCTGTGGAAGTCAGCTAAGTTCAACAGATGGGAATAATTCAGGACTTTTAAGAGATGAGGAAAGACACAGTTTCTACTGAGAAGCTGAGGGATTGGAAAGATGGCTTACGTTTTAGTCCTTTAATGTAGGAGATGTGATACAGCAAAAAAGTCCAACAAAGGTTGATACGAGCCTAACTTACTGAGAGGTCCAAATGAAAGCTGCCACTAATCCTTCTGCCTATTTTAGAAGTTACTTTTTGCCTCCTGAAGCCACCTGTGCACTGCATTAAGTGACAGGTAGTGAGAATTAAAACAGGTTAGATTTGGGTAATACCAGTTACTGCCCTGTTCCAAAAGGTTTTATATACAAAATGGCATTTTTAGTTTTAGGGAAATATATGTCAGACTTTAGGAGAACACTTGGAATTCATTGCCTTTCAAGTCCCTTTTAACTCAGCTAGAACAAACTCATATCAAGATGCCTAGTGGGAACAGCCAAATAGCCAGATGCCTAGAGCAGGATCAGTTGGTCTGTGAAGAAAGACAAACCGTGAAAACCCCATGAAAAATTGTAATAGCACTTAAAAGTTCTGCCTGGCTCAGACTCTTGCTGTGCTGAGCATATTTACAGTCCACATTGTAGCATCTACTGTCCTAGACAGAGAAGAATGGGAATTTACCACTATGGGGATGCAACAGGGAAGGAGAGCTCAGACTCTGAAAATGTCATGTGAGCAGAGGAGTAGGGAGTTTCAGAGTGTGCATGAGGAGCAGAATTTCTCTTTCCCAATATTAAGGTGTGCTTGTGCATGTCAGCTTTTTAGGAAGGTGGTCGTAAGACCTGCACTCAGGTAAGTATTTCATCAGTACCCCAGGGTGGCCTCTGTTTGTTAGTTCATCTGTGAGCATAGTAGGTAACAAGAGCCCCTCACTCTCTTCTTTCCCTCTGGAATTTTTCACTAAACACCCTTTCCTGTGTGTTTCTCCCTTTCTTACTGGACTCTGGAATATGTACTCTTGGAGTGAACCAGTATCAAGGACAACCATCACTGCTCACCACTTCTGGAGTCCCTGTCTTAGAGGTTTCTCCTGGGAGGTGGATTGGGTCTTTCAGGTTTCTGTAACCAATTCACTTAGGAAAAATCAATGAGTACCTTTGGAAAGAAAGTAGCCACGTCTACACTTGGAGCCCAGAATCCCTTCTGGCAGCCTCTTTTAGCTGTGCCATTGTGTTGAATTAGGCTTTCCACATGACTGAGGGAGAGGAATGCATCTGTTATGGATTCTGCTCAGCCTTTGTGGGGATTGAGCCACCAAGCCTTTTAAAAAAGTGGGATACAATCCTTGACACAATTAAAATTCTAGGACCATGGAAACATAGCAGTCAGTCAAGAAGTCCTCAAAAAAGCTGTAGTGTCTCAAAGGTAAGAAATTCTACCTTACCAGCTACAGTCTTTAGCCTACCTTTAACATGTAGAAATTAGAAACTGCTACGGTTTAGAACCAGGCTAAACCTTCTCATTTTGCAAAAAAATGTGTATTTGTCAAGGACAAGAAGACGTGTAAGTTGTGGGAAGGAACCAGTGGACTAAATGTGAGCTCTTTTAGAAGGGGAAGGAGCATGGAGCTTGCAGACAATCATTGGGACTGAAAAAATCAACAGGAACAGGAATGCAATTCTGAGCAGAGAAGTTCAGTGCTAATGCTTAATTCTGTGCATGTGTAAATCTCTTCCTGAACCAGTGATTTCCAGAAGGATGTAAAGAGGATTTGAGTGCCACCATCTCAGTGCAGAACTGTATTGTGTCATGGGGTTGATGAGTAGAGAACACTCCTTGGAATGTAGAGACGGGCACTTGACTGAAGAAGAGCACTGAGAAAAAACAGAGGACCTCTGTGGAAGTCTAGCAGATAGAGGCTTTTCTTTTCTTCACAGCTGCCAGCATCTGTAAAAAAGGTTCCTTAAATGTTTCTGTCAAGAAATAGATGTGCTCAAATAAAAGACTGCCACCATCCCCTTCTCACTTCTGTAATGGTCTTTCTCATTACATTTTTTAGGCCCCCGATACCAACTGCATCCCTTTTTTATTTTACCTTTTTTTAGTACAGCAAGCTCCCCTCTTTATCTTTGTCTTTGTTTGGAGTCAGCCCATTATTTTGCCACTTGTGAAAGGATACCATAGGCAAACTGTTTTCAAAGAACTCCTAGTTTTATTTTCCAACCAGTAGCACACTTTTTTCTCTTGGTCTTGTGACACAGGAATATTCATGATTGTGGGGAAATCTAGGATGTCTTTCATGGACTGGACAGTTCCCAGGTTGTTGGTTACCAGTGCCAGTAAACAGAACTGTTTTGACACTTAGCCCACACATTCTGGCCATGCTTCACTAGTCAACAAGACAGGACACTTTGAGCTGAAAACTCCAGCTCTTTGCCCAGTTCCAAGGGACACAGTCCACAATAAGAATGCTTTTCAATTTTTATGTAGCAGTACTAAGATCTGTTGGATACATGATACATGGTAAATCACAAGGCATCACAGTGAACAAAAATACAGTCAACCTATATAAAGCATATAACATTTATTAAAAGGCATATAATGGTTTTTATTTCAATATTAGTATTAGCCTAGTTGGAATTACCAGCCTATCCCCTGCTCCTCTCCAAGACGTGATAACTAATTACTGGTAAATTAGGAGAGAAGAGAATCAGCAGTTTTTGTTAATTTTCAATCTTCATATCTTTAATCTTAGTATAACTCAGTATAGCAAACATAGATGTACCAGAAAAAGGTTTGCTTTTTTAGTTATCTTTGACATACTTCTTAGAAATAATTCACAGTCTGCCAGCATCCCTACATCATTAGCACTGAAGGTGTTTCCATGCTGCGTTTGACAATGTCCAACACAGTTGATTGTGAGCCAGCTCTGCCAGTAAAACCAAACCAGGAAATTGTTCTTACAGTTCCTTGTGACCAATAGTTTCTTTCTTCATATGTAAATTCTAAAGTTTACCTTCTCTCATATGTGTAGTCAAGTTTCTTCACTTTGGTATCTTTTGGTACCAATGTAAAATAAATATGGTGAAAAAGAGACTTCCCACTCTTACTTTCTTATCCTCTTCATTATTCTCCAGAGACTCTTGCAAGGCTACACTTTCCACTGGAATTTTTTTTTTTTGTCTTTTAAAATAAGGTTATTCTAAAGCTAAGGGTATCTTTGCTTTTTTTTTTTTATTTGTGTTCTATGTTGGTAGCTGGATCCATAAAGCTAAAAAAAGTGTAGATTGGTAGGATGTTTTATTTGACTTCCAATGACAGCTTGTTTTAGCACAGTGTCCTAAGAGTGTCTATGTTGATACCATCTGGTAGTAACTCTTTTAAACCCATTTGTCTTGTTAGGCCCAAACAGGACCTTAAAAGAGGAATTCCCTGATCAAAGAATGGTTACAAACAAAATCAGGTACTAAGCAGTTTTTGTCCTTGGGCCTTGCTTACTTCCTTTTAGAACAGAAAGAAGCTAGTCATACCAAGTCAGCAATTTAAATAATAATGTGGATTGTTTTATGACAGGAAAATACTGCTAATGATCAATCCTTTAATCTCGTCAGATGCTTCTGTCAGGTTTTGCTACTTTAGCAATACTATCAGTGTGGAGCTGATAGGCTGCCTTCGTAATGAGTGCCTGAAAATGCCAGCATTGAATAACCTGATACTGTGCTAGTCATAGTCCTGGTGAAGATATTTTTTGGTCTTTTGGAAGTGCACTGCTTTTCCTGTAAGGAAATACTTCTTTCTGAGAGCCAGACAGGCTCTGGGGCACCTAGAGAATCTCAGTTTGACTGTTCTTTCACTCAGTGACCTAAAATATTGAAATGAGTAAGTCATATGATGTGTTGGTTTGACTTTTTTTTTTTTTTAAATGGGAGGGCAAAGAAATGGCTTCTGTATATATGGAACCTATTTCTAGAATCTGTTAGTTTTGAGAGGCACAGCTGTGATAGAATTTCCTTCCATGCTTGGTGGTATGTGAACCTGACATGAAAAAGGAGAGAGAGTGAGCACAGCTGTCTTATCTTTCATGCAGGTAATTATAAACTTGAGCACGAAACAGAATATTCTGCCCATGCCATGGGCCAGAGCTGCATACTGTGTTACAATCAAAATCCAAGTCTTATTTCTAATTGTGAAGAGAGAACGTACGTATACAACAATACAACTGATGACATAAAGTATAATGCATAGCAGTTAATGCAAATTGTTATAGAAAGTAACCAGCCCCAGAAAACATGGTCTAGTAGACCTCAAACCTCAAAGATTAATATGATAGGAAGAAAACACCAAGCAAACAAAACCCCCACAACATCTGTAGTATGTACAAATAGTGGTGAAAGTTTTTCAGCATAGAGGGATGCACAAGTTACAAAGCATTGCTCCGTTTACTTGACCCATGTATGTTACTTGTAATACTTCATTAGCATTGCGTCAGAAAGGACCAGCCAGGCAATTCTGACTGATCCATCAATCCCCTTCAAGAAAACTTGCAGATTTACCTTCCCACCCTACCCTTATTTTCATTGAACCCAGGCAGGCATTTGTAGGAAGATAGTGATGTGCTGCATCACAACTCTGAGGTTTTATATTTGATGGTTCTTATGTATCCCTGAATTATAGTTGCTTCTGTCTACCAGAGGCAGCTTATTTTACAGGATGCAAACTAGCTGGGTAGCTGCCAGTTAAAGCCATTCATTTTTTTAAAAATCCTGTTTATCCTTTTTCTAGTTACAAATTTGCGCATCAGAGTCATATTTCTTCCAGCATGATTAGGGGTATCACAGCTTTCAGTAACTTAATTATGACAGATTTAATCCAATAGAACGGATGAATTCTGTAACTCCAAAGCCAGAAATTTTTGAAAATGGTCATTTTGAGAGGAACCTTTGATGGATTATAGTTTCTTCTCCTATTAAGCTTGTGTGATCAAGGAGGAGAGATATTCTACATTCCACAATATTTTATACATTTTATTGTTATGCAAACAGTGGGGACTTGTCTAGGAGTACACATAGAATGACTGGAAGGAATAGGGCTTTGCTAGCCACAATTTAAACAATTATGTATCCAGAATGCCATTGATTGCATTTTCATGGAAGTGGCTTAGCCTTCTTAACACAAACCAGCCATTAAATCACTGGGAGAGCAGCACTGGGCAGGCCTTCCAGCACAGCAGTGCCCTGACATCCATGTTGGGTCACAGACTTGATGGACAAGTCAATCACTGCGTTTTAAAGTGAAGGTGGTGATCTAACCTTTCCATGTTTGTCCTGGACTGCCTCTCCAGTGGCTGCCCTGTGTGGCATATGACATAAGGTGGAACTCTTTGGGGGAATGGCTTTACAGAGCCAACAGTGTGTCTGATAATTTACTTGTTGCAAACTACCCCTCTCTAGCTCTTACTTTGTACTGAATCATCAGGGAAGACACAGGGTTAAACTGAGCAGTCTGCTGGAAGCTTTTGGTCTTTTGCAAACATCACAGCATTATGTATACTGTAGAATAGCATTTCCTGCATACATCCAAAATCCTTTCCAAAGTAACCCCCTCTTTTCAGAGAGTCTATCACTGAGGGATTGCAGCAAGCCAGGAGAACAGAAATGTTTAAATTCTTGTAGTCTTTCAGGATTTCCTTCAAAGTATTAACTCCAGTCGTGTCCAAAAATGAGATGGAAGAGCAATCGACAACAAGGGCTTGGAAATCAATTTGCTTAGGAACTAGTTGCAAGGTGGTTTCTCCGATGCCCAGTCCATTAGCAGTTCTGTGGTTTCCCTTTTTCAGATGCTGCTTTTCCTTCTTCTCATATTTCTTCCTCCTAGCAGCTTCTAGATTAGGATCTAAATTGGTCAATCTGTACAGAGACTTTAGGAAGTAGTTTCTATTTGCATAGTAAAGTGGGGCCTCAAAGCGAAATATCTTGACCTTTGGAACAGTAGAGAGATTTTCATATTCTAAGTCATCCTCATAAAAGCTTGTGTCTTGAATCTGACCGAGCAGGGCTGTCCGTGGCCGCTGGGTCCTAACAATGATGCATAACATGGAGAAAACAATGCCAACCAACAGCCCTATTTCTGTGCTGACCAAGGCAGAGGCAGCCATGGTAACTACCCAAACAAGTGTGTCCACCTTATTCATACGGTACCGTGCTGGCACATCTCGGAACTTCCTCAGGGCTCCTCGAAGGCTCACAATGATAATGCAAGCCAGGACACACTTCTGCAAGGAGTAGAAGAGAGGTGCCAGGAACAGCAGCACCAGCAAAACCACCATTGCACTAATTACTCCAGAGATTTGAGTCTGGCAACCTGTAGATGTTTTGACGAGTGTTTTTGCCAAAGCTGCACTGGTTGCAAAAGAGTGGAAGAAGGAAGGAATGATGTTGCAGAACCCCACAGCAAACATTTCCTGATTGGCTCGGATGGTGTAAGCATATTTCTTTGCAAACATTTCAGAAAGGGATACAGTGAAGACAAAACTGACTATGGCAAGAGGCAAAGCATCTAGAGCAACTCGGAGCATTAAGTTGAACTCTGGTACCTTTGGAGGGATAAATCCTGTTGGAATAGCTCCAGAAACACTGGATGCATACACTTCATTTAACTTACCATAGTGTGACACCAGTGTTGCCACAACTATAACTACCAGCTCTGTGGGAAGAGGAAATTTCAGTTTATGCTTATACCGATCTCCGAGTTCCTTAGCAGTGACCAGCACCACAATACAAATGGCACTTGTGATGACATCACAAAGGTTAGCCTGAGAAATGTTCCGGAAAATGTTAATCCAGGTAATAACCAGCATCCCATGCCCTTGGCTACGTGGAATTTTTATTCCAATAAGATACTTCACTTGAGCTGTTAAAATGGTTAAGGAAGCACCAGTTGCAAAGCCATCTAGTACGGACTCAGATAGGTACATAGATACGAAACCTAGACGGAAGATCCCCATTAGAACCTGAGGAAACAGAAGAAGGAAAAAAAACAAACCATGAGATGTAACCGTTGCTGCAAATAGTTAGCTACAGATGGGGGAGAGCTAGCTGGAGGCCAATAGTATTTGGCTATTTCATTCCTGAAACAGGAATTATCCTTTTTTGTTTCCAGTCTGCTTTTAAAATATGATTCCTTTTATTGTTTTGGAATGCTACAAACCCAAAAGGTGAATGAGGGGTTTGAGACAGGGTGGTCAAACACACATTTGTCTGAAGTGACTCCACTGAAATGGCTTGCCTGAATTTTATTCCCTATGCAAAAGAGCAGTGGGTCCAAAATACTTCTGTTATACCAAAGTAAATTTTCCTTTTTTTCTGTCTTAAAGTGAATAAAGTTAAAATGTATGGCCTTTTCCTTGTAAACAAAACTTGAATAAGATCCCTACTTTAGCTTTTGCATTAAGCAGCTTTTAATTTTAGCCCTGTGGACAGAAGGGAAAATGAAGCACAGATGGCCTTTGTGGCATGCCTCAGATCAGAAGTGTCAGAACAGCTCACAAACTCCACGATTCTGTCCTTAACTAGTTGATTCTCCTTAGATGGTTTTGGAAAATACAATTTCACAAGGGCATTTTTTTGTTCATATATGTGGCCTGAAATTTCTTACTACAGCAGGAAGATAGCTAGCTCTTTCTGCATTCATATACGCATATTCATATATACGCACACACATGCACAGAGTTAATAGAGAAGTATGTTCATGATGATTCCTTCTGTGCTCTCTTGATATCCTTGTTGACAAGTGTCAAGGAGTCCAGCACAGCCATTGTCAGAAAAATGGGTTAGTCAGTGTATTTCTCCTCTTGTCCTTTCTTTGAATTATCTTTTGGAGAGCAGTTTGGTAGAGCACAGCACTCTCCACCAAAACACTGAGCTGCTCATTCTGAACTTGGAGAAGTAGTTGAGTAGGTATACACCTCTATTAAAATATCCAGGGAAAATGTTATTTCTTCATTTTTAAGTACACAGCTACCTGGGCATTTCCTATATCTGTACTGGGCTTCATTATCTCATGAAAACAACAAGGCCAAGAAGCAGAAGAGTATCAAAACAGTGTTGATGGTCTTTCAGAAGACTCTTGTTTTGCCTGTGTTTGCTAGCAACTAAGAAAATTGCCTGCCTCATGCTGTCTCTGAGTTGCCTCCCATTAGGCTTCCTGGAGAAAGCAGCCCAAAGTACATTCAAATGAACTAATGATGTATCTCATTGAAAGACAGTCAAGCCAAAGGTTAGGTCATGTAAAAAACTTCAGGAACTTCATACCTTGCCTCTGGATGTCAGCAACCACTTACCTGGTACACTCCAGCCATGAATGTCAAGGCTGTAGCAATGCCAATAGCGTAGCACTCTTTCCCACACTCGGCATTTATCCCCACAATGGTAAGGTTGAAGGCAGTTGTGTTGGACAGATTGTCATTTTGCAGAGAGCCATCACCTGAGGCTGGTGGGGCATCATCATTCAAGTCAAACCCAGCCAAGAGAAGTTCTCGGTCCACAACTTGTCCCACCATTAAGCTTATCAAGCTGAAAATGCCAACTGAGACGTGACGGGATGTGCCCATTAAGAAATAGATGATGTTGGCAAAGAAGGATGTGTAAAGGCTATAAATGGGCTTCAGACCTGCCAGCAGTGAATATGCAATTGCTTGGGGCACCAAAATGATCCCAATCACTAACCCAGACATAATATCCCCCCAAATGTACTCTTTGCATCGGTACTTGGGAAGCCATCGTAAAACAGGAAAGAAGTCCATAAGAAAGTTCTTCAGCTTCTGTGGTGTGCAGGCACAGCTCTTTCTCAGCTTAGCTAGCATGATTTCTTTCCTGTTAATCTTGACATGAGTCTTTCTTTTCATGAGAAAGCAGGATGAGGTGTTGTTTTCCATTCTGGTAGTCTCAAGTGGTCTTTCCATTTTCTCAGTATTTACTTCATTTAACGTGTTCCTGCAAAGTGAAGAAAATATGTGTCAGGTTACAATTCATTAAGTTTTTTTTAACACAGTCACTTAACACTAAAAGTTTGTCTCTTGATTTTGCTTTTAAGGAAGCATCATCCCAACAAGAACACTCTCATAGGGCTCCAGTGACTCATAAGGCTAAGAAATAAATCTGCCCTTTTTTGCACATATTAAGGAGTACTTTCAAGTGAATCCAGTTTGTTCTAATAAAGAAAAATGGGGTTAAGTTATCATTTTTTGGTATGACAAAGATTTCCATCATCTAGTCTAAATGTTCTATTGTAAAGGTCTTTGTGACCAGAAGTAGGACTTGATGGTGTGAAATAAACATGTGCTAGTGAGGTAGGTTGTATTGTTTCTGTATAGTGAGTACATCTTGTAATCATTGATTAGTAACTCTAATGGGGTATAATGATCTGTCACGGCAGTTGTCATCAATGCAGAGGAGAAAAATGTTGCTGGTAGGACCTGTAAAGCAAAGTTTTCTGGAGAGCAACAGTTTAGTCTTACATAAAAGATATGTACACAAACAATTGATAGACTCTTTGTAGCTGCTACATGTGCAGCTTCTGGTAATAAATGGCTCCTCACAGATACCGCCATATTGGCAACATACAGACCAAGCACCATGATTTTACCACGTTGGAAGAGTGCTGCCTGTTATTATTTTCAGGTTTAAGCCCATGGTTACCCAACTTGGTTCTGCCAATAATGGTACAGCAAATAATTATGTGTACAGCAGAACAAGCGCAGCAGTGTTTCCTGTGGTTCTCCTGATTGTTTTCTAGTATGTTATGGCTGGGATGATTTGTATTCCCCTGATGGAGTGCTTTTGATGTCTCTTGCCTCAGTGGACACAACTGTTTTCACCAAACTCGATTTCTGCATTTTTATTCAATTGTCAAATTAAATTGAAATTAGCATAGTGCATTCATAAGTAATTTTGGGGTAGGTAGGAACATACTAAGAGGCAAAACATGCAAGTATCCTAACTTACATAGCTAAAAAAATAAAATAAGAGCACACAGATGGAAAATGTTAAACAAGCTATGCCAATTGGCAAATCTTTTCTGGTTATCAGTAGAGAGAAAGAAGAGACTTCTGTGTGAGGATGCCTATGTAAGAGTAGTGGGAGATGAGGAGTGACTCATACTGATCTAGATGAAGATAGTATGTGCTAATACAACAATATGCAGAATTTTTAGGAAAGCAGACCTTTTCTAGGCTCAGCTTCTCACAGTGTCATTAATAGCCAGGATCTCTGCATCCTGTTTGGTGCCAGGACTGACCTTGCCATAGTGTCAAAGCTTGTCTTCACTTACAAGTGAAAGCTGTTTCTTTCCTCTTTCAGTGTTTAGCGACAGACTCTGTACCCATCAGTTTCATAAAACTTGAAGTAAACTTACTGGCACAGTGTTCTGTTGATAAATTTTAATGGTTTAAAAAATTAGTACGCAGTTTAGATGCAGCTGACAGAATTCTCTGCAAATTTCCTGGGTTTTTTTTGTTGTTAAGAAGAACATTTTCATTTGTAGCTGTTAGGTAACAGCCTGTTGAGGTGTAGAATTCTGAATTTAGAAAGTGTTAATGAGTCCAACTGGAAACATAATTGAAAAGCAAAAGTACAGATTATCAATAGCCTGTAGGCTTTTGTCCTGGAGTAGTCCAAACTGAGAGTGACTTATTAGAAAGTCTTTTGTCTATCCTGCTTAGAAATAGTTTTCAAGATTTTAATAATTATGTTTTGCCACCAGATTGAAAATAATAAGAAGATTATTATATATCTGTCACTGGAGTAGAAATTTTAAACAAGTTCCCAGGTATTATGATACAGCATACAGATAAGTGATACATCATGATTTCTAAGGCTTTTCTAATTTCTAAGGCAAAGTTTAACCACAATTCAAAGCAGGATGTTCAGGTGTTATAGGTGATTTATAACTTGGTAAAAGGCAGAGTAGAGATTCTTGCTAGAAATGTGTGGACTGATTGTCCAAGTTGAAAAGAACCTGCATAGTAGTGTAAACATGCATTTAAAAATTAGCAGAGTTTTATCCATCCCAACTACATAAATACATTTTAGCTCCCATTGTATACATTTCTTTATGTTTGTCAGTAAGGCTTATTTCCATCATAAGGGAACACTAATTACAATTTAATATAATTACTTATAAAGATCCATGTCCATTCTTTATCACTGCTAAGTTTACTTCAGACTCTAATGTACTGCACAGTTATGCTAGGCAAGATCTGCTTGGACAGGAAAATAGTTTGGATCTAGTCTTTGTTAGAATGTAAAGGTGACAGAAAAGATAAATGAAGTTGCAACACCAGGTGAAGTACTTATGAGCATATGAATAAAGTTAACATATACAGAATGCTAGCAAGTGTAATAAAGGCACTCATTTTTAAAAGGCAAAATCCCAATACTTCCTGTCTTACCTAAATTAATTTGGAGAATGAGAGGCTTGTGCATCAGGACAGCAAATCCTTATTTAAATGCTACTCACTTCTTACAGCCAAGTGAATTCATCCAGTCAGGAAGTAACTATTGTGCCCTTGCTGGACATACTTAAAAGCTAGTGGGCAGTTCAATATCCAATGAGTGCTTTTTATAGGCTACATTAAAAAGATTACATCAGCTTCTGTACACTAGGCTCATATATTTAATTGAATAGTTGCTGTCTGCCTCTCTCTAATCTCATACAATTTACCTGGAAGTAATTTGGTATTTACAAAAAAACCACATTACAATTCAGATGTGTGTATTGTTTTATCCCCTGAGGGATAAAAGTGATTTTTATTACATAAGATAATTGGCACATAATTTCTTTGGAAATCTATTAAATAATAGCTTTTTGTAAAAAACAACCAAGCCTCCCCCATCAGCCAAAAAAAAAAAAAAAAGGTAGTAAAGTAAACTGTGTATCTTGTGTGTTCAAGCTGACAGTAAGTAATTTTCTTCGATTTTTTTTTCCTGAAAATAAAGGTTTTCTTCCTGGAAGTAACTGTTTATTCTGCTCTGTATGCTTTCAGACTCTATGTCGAATGAATGTGGTAGCTGTTAAGCAGTCAGGTCTCAACCTAGATTTGTATCCAGAAACTGTTAATGTTTAAAGTTTCCTTGTTGCTTTTTGGAATGCAGTAAAGCCACACCAAATAAGGGCAGGAGCATTGTTATCAGCAACATTTTTTCAGCTGTGTAATTGAATAATAGCCAGGCTGTGATGCCTGTAACTTATTGCTGCACCTGGAGGAAGTGGGATTCCACCACAGATGTGTGCTATACCTTGTGCACTTATGCAGCCTAGCAGAGCTTACAGCTTCCAATGTTCTTGCCAGCTCCAAAGACAGAATGGAGGAGAGGAGAACTGTTATGCACATGAGCAGACTCCAGCCTTCTAATTCTGGCACTGAGATCCAACACCATTCTCCCAAAGTGGTAGTACTTGAGCAGAATGCACGAGCCCTAGGGCAGGTCAGTAAGTGGATTCCTTTACTGTTCACCCAATGACCCATTTTCAGCTTAGGCTACACTATGAAGTGGAAACCCAGTATTCCTCCCTTTCTTCCTCCAGAGCTCCACAGAACATAATGTTGCATTTTTTTCAAGTCATCATTTGCTGAAAGAGCTGTTCTTAACAGGGCTGCACAGATGAAACAGCACATAGCATAAAACATCTTAGTTCTTTGCACTTCAGAATTGGAACAACTGTTTAAACAAGTGAAAGTTGACTTGTGTGCACATTCATGTGTATGTGTAACATTCATATAATTACAACAGAAAGTAGTCTTGGTTATTTTGAATTGTACTTTTATGTTTGGAATCTTCACAGTGAAGTTTTTTCAAGTTTCCCTTGACCATATGAGAGAAGCAATTGAGCAGAGCCTTGTCTGAACCACTCATTCTTTCAGGTTAAATGCATTGATTGACTCAATTTATTTTGTGAAAAAGAGAAACAAGGGAAAGAACCATTCAAGACAAACTGCTGACTTTCTAACTGGCCTTAGTCCCATCTTTCTTCCTGTCTTTTCATCACACCTGTAACCTGACAAAATCTCTCTGCAGGGGAAGAAACATTCATCACAGTATGTTCATGTGAGATTTTTCTTTGCAGCTTCTTTGGCAGGCAGTTTCTCCTGCTACATATATAACCATTCTGAATGGATAAGTTGTTCTTTGGGAAACGGCACAACCCCTAAAAAACTTCATTATTTTGCATCCTTTTGCTTCCCCATCCTGGATTGTCCACCAAAAAATCTGAAGCTGTGTCTCTGTAAAGCCCAGGAGGGAGTAGCAAGGGTGAGCCTGTCTCCCTGTGTTGAGATATTTTAAATGCTTTCTTTAGAACACAAGTCAGATGGTATCACAGCTCTATAGTATAATTGTTCACTTGCTGAAATAGTGATTTCAAGTGTGAGGATAGAGCCATTTAAAGAGTTTAAGCCAAGTGATGTTTACTGTTTTCTCCATGTTTGAGCTATAAAAAATCCACTAAAAACGAATGTGGTTAGGGTGGGTTTTGTATTTATTTGTTGCATAACTCACTGAAAAACATGAGAGACTTAAGTCTAGTTAAACATTTGATAGGAAACACAGGTGTTGAGTTGTTCATGTTGCTTATCTTTCATATCAGAAACCTTTTCTCTCTCATAGAAATCTTTCTTGGCTCTAATGGCTATGATTACATTACTGTTCTGGTTTTGAGCAATGACACAATTCTGAAAAAGCTCTTTGGTTAGGCTTATTTATGTTGCATTGATTAAATGTACAGGGGTGTGTTATTCTTGCAAACAGGATTTTTTTTTTCAGAGGAAGGCACCTAGAAACTATGTCCCAGTGCACTTTGACCCTTTATGGTGACATAAAAACCTAAGCCAGCAATTGGTGCTTTGGACATTTTTGAACAGATGTGAGGAATAGATTTAGTTTGTGAGAACTGACTCGTCTGAAATAAAGTCTGCTGAGCTGCATATAATACAAGACACTACTGCTTTAGCACCTATTGCTTTGATTTATTAATCTTTTGTTCTACAGCGTTGCTTAGATATGTCAGCATAACCTGAAAGTTTTAGAAGTCATCAGGTACTAAAACAGAACAAGTGAGAGTAATGTTTCTCTCTGCCTTACGTTAGCTATTGTATTTTCATCTTTAGAGCTAAGATGTACTTGGAAGCAAACTTAAGCAAGGAGCCAGCAGCCAAAACTATTTATTTATGGACTGACCCAGCAAACTGTCAGACTACAGGCACAGTACATGGCAATGCCTTGTAGAAAAATCATATGAAACTTGTTAGGTTTGGTTTGTTTTTTCACTATATGGGGTAAAATATTATTGCTTCAAAGCATTTTTTGTGTTGAGTTTCAATGTTACACTAATTTAAATGTGAAAGAGGAAATAGCATTCCAGCTCAGTGGTCTCTACAAGTCAGGAAAGCCAGATCATATCCTCTACGAATTAAACTGCTATACTAAGGAGAGATTTATTCTGAGAGTCTTTCAGATTTGTGTATTTCTAATTAAAATCTCCAATTCAAAATTTTTATTTTCAACTGTAAATTGGTTTAGGGTTTTTCAGGCAAGTCTTTGTTAAATGCCTGCATTCACCAGCAGCTGTGATTCAAGTCTTGTTTTCCCAAGAATTCTCAGTTTCATATCTCAGTGAGTAAGGTGACAGCCACTGACAGGTAACAATCCCAGAGCTGATGAAAAAGGCTGCAGTGGAACTCATGCAGTCAGCCAGCACCTGTTTTTAAGTCTGGCCCATTAAGATCATCTCTGGGAATGATCATACATGCAGATACATGGTCGAGTAGTTTCACTCATTCTGCAGAGAGAGTTTTTGTGCAAGGATTCCAGAAAATGCTGATCTAACTATTGATATGCTCTTGAAGGCAAGACAGCATTATTCTTCTGGAGAGTCTTAGGACAGGATCACTAAAAAGGCATTTCCTGTGGATTCAAAAAACATTCCTAAAAATCAGATTTCTTGCTTTTGGGAAAGTAGCTGTTTCAAAGTGAAAGTCTGTTATTTAAAAATAAAAAAGAAGTCTTTCAAGATGGCTTTTCAAGATCCTGGTCATCATTCATGAAGTTAAATACTAAGCTCTGTGTTCTCTCCTGTAGTTTTGCTGGATATTGTTTAGCCATACTAAGCTGTCACAGAGAAAACCAAGCTGATAGTCCATTCTCATGGTTTTTCCTGTTATTTTCTGTGGCGTCTTATGTTTACTGCATGCAATAAGGACAGTGTTTTGGAAACACTTTTTTTGTACTTAAGCACTAAGAAAATGCTCTCAGTTTCAATATCAATGTAGTACTTTGAGAAACAAAGATAAGCCTAGTATACGCAATTTTCTTAAATAGAATAAAAACTAACCAAATGGTTGAACTCTTGGATGAGGGTTGCAGGAAAAATAATTGCTGTACCATTTACAGCTGACTGTATGCTTTACAAACTTTTGCCCAGTGTCTACCTTATAAGCAATATTTATGAACAACAACATAATAATAAACAAAAAAAACCACCAACAGCACAAGCAAAGTAAGTGAAAAGAGGCAGTTTTGCACCTTTGAAAACAGGCAAAGAACAAATTAACCTGAATTCAGAGGCACTGGAAGGGAGACAATCTCTTACCTGGATAGCTTTTTGACAGGAATGTACCAGCTCTGTTTTTGCACGTTGGAATGAATGGAAGTCGTCAGCCAGACATCGCTCTATTTGCATAAATGAAAATTATTAGCTAAATATTCCTTAATGTAAGAATGGGTTGTTATGGAATCTTGAGCTTGGTGTTTGGTAGCGTGTTGTCACTTGTATCACTTTGTAAAGCTGGATATATGTGTATCGCTAGGTGAGGATTTGAGTTTAAATAATGCATAAGATTATTAATTAACTAGCACTGATCCAAAAATTGTGCTGAGTTCAGGCTAGCACATCTCTGACCTTTGAAGCTGCTTCTCCTCTGAGATTTGATCTGGTTTATGCATCCTCATGTAGCATTAGCTTTTGATTTTAGATGTTCAAGGTGTATGAATAGAACTTCCGTCTTGCTTGAGATTTGTGTCCTTTGCAGGCTGGAATAAGTCCTGTTCTGCTCAGTGCATAGGATGGGAGAACTGAAGGTCAGAGTTCTTTTTCTATATGTCAGCACATTCAGATCACAATATTTTTTGCTTCTGTGTAAACCGAAGACTTCATAATGTAGGCAGATCAGAAGGACAAAGATAGACTTCTGTTGAAAGTCTACTTCATTCTTGTGAGGTGTATAAATGACCAAGTTCCCTCTCAGTTATCTTAGATCTTTGTGTAAGTGCAGACCTATCCAAGTGATAAATAAACATCCATCTCCTCCCCTTGACAAAGGTGATCGGTAATGTTTAATGGTTACTAAGCAGTGTGGATTAACAGGTTGGGCACAAGGCCATGACCCGTAGAGACTGTATTCAGCTGGCCTACAAGCTAAGGGATGAGCAAATGTGTCTATTTCTCAGCCAAGCAAGAAGACGAGCTGGCATGCAGTATCTGAGACGGGAGTTGAAAGGTCACAAAAAGACTGTGTTGTTGGCACACAAGCATGGCTAGAGAGGGCCAGGTTTCAACATTGTCTTTTATCCCTGTGCAAAAAGTTGTTTGCTGCTCTTTAAAAGTAAGAAGGAAACATAAAAATTATGTAAATGAAAAGTCAAAACTTAGGCAAGGGAGGAGTAGAAATAGAACTTCTGTGATGTTAAACTGGTCATGGATTCTTAAAACTAGCTACAACCAGGAGCTTAGTAGTAGTAGTTGTGACGTTCTAAATCCAAAATCTAAAGAAGGTAATTTCTCTCTTACCAAAACCCTGTTGCTTGCTTCTTTGCTATGGAAGATCTTGTCAACCACTCCTATTCCCTTTGCTAAAGTGCCTCCTAGAAAAAAGGGGATGCAGTAGTACACCTTATGAATTTTGCATGCTGATCACAAAGATAGTGTGTTTCTTTTGTTTTGTGCTCTACAGAATAGAAGATTTCACTGCTTCTGTTAATTTAATTGTAGCCTTGAGGTATTTCTTCATTAAAAATAAAATGACTTAAACTCAAGTTTCTCAAATTCATCATTTTGTCCATTTTACTACCTACATCTTAGAACCAAGAGTTATCATGTCTGGTGACCTCCTAAAATGTGTGTACCATCTGCTTCAGTACCTAAATAAATTTTTTCTCCTTTTCAACTCCTGTCCAATATTTGGACATTCTGTTACTTCTGGTATTTACAGTCTTGGAATTTTCAGAATAATGGGGGTTTGCCCATTTAGCATTTTTTTTGACAGAGACCCCTCTGCATTTCTCTCCAACAGCACTTTTCCGAATATCAAGCTCCTAAGAGAAAGGAGGATATTATTGTATCATTATCACTTGACCCCTTCCATATAAAGTTTGTTATAACTTTGTTTTGCCTCAAGCTAGCCTAAAAATAGCACTTTTTTAAATCTAAAAAAAAAACTTCAAATACTAATTCTGAACATTTTTTTTGGTGCAGTACAGTGCCAATGAGGCTGAAGATCTCTGGACAGGACAGTTCCACATGGGAAAAAATTGACAAAATAAAGCAATCTCTCATTCTATCTGTATAAATTTTGAAAACTATATAGTTTTGACAGAACTGAGTTTTATGATGAACAAGTTTTACTTAACCTTCCAAAATACTGACAGCAGAAGGTTCATTAATGGATTGTGGAGATGAGGGTTCATACTCCATTACAAGAAGTCATTCATCAAGGCTTCAGTCCAGCAATAATTTTGAGTGGGCTGGTCCCGCCATCCTGGTTGAATTCCACTGACACTAACACTCAGTTCTAAAAGTGCTGTCTTTCCTTGTCAGCTGCTGAGTAATGAAACAGTGGTGTCTGGCCAAAACAGCCAAAAGAGGTACTGCTGTGAAACACCTATCTCTAAGAATAGAAACGACAGTAGAAAAGAATGACAAACATTGACCATTAATTTTGAGTTTACAGATGATTTTTGTTTGTATGACTTACTATTTATCCTTATGAACAGATGCACAGTTTCAGTTGCCTAAAAAACTGTAAAGGGTTAAAAGCAGAATTGAACAAAAGTATTTATGAAATAAATGATGTAAAAACATAAAATGTATTTGACGTTGTTAACACATTTACTTGAGGATTTTCAATGATCTCAGAAAAATTCATGGCATTGCTGCGTACAATTCAAATCCGGTAACCTAACTGTTAAAAAATTAATGCTAAATTAGTCACATACAGACATTTAATCTCAGAATCATAGTTAAAAGTGTTTGTTTACTGGGTCACAGTCAATAATTTCAAATCTTCAAAAGTATGTAGTCCAAATGGAATAGGCATGTTCTTCCTTCTGTGCATGTGTAGGAAGTTCAGGAATTCAATTAATTAAAAAAAACTCTTAAGCCTAATGCCTGCATTGTTTAAAATGCTCTCAAGCCTCAATTGCTCTGTAATTTACCTTTATATCATAGCAAATAGGTGATGTGCCTAAAAAGTACACATTTGGTTGCATTTTGATAGGAAAGATGGGAGCACTGAAAGTAAGCATCCACTCCCTTCCAATCTACTATGCTCTGCATTCCACATACCTTTTCTAGCTGTGACAAGTACCTGGAGCAGCTGAAAGTGGTGTATATATGTGGAGAGTCATGTTATTGATTTTTTTGTTAAATGAAAAACTGTTGCACAGTTTCCAGGAGAAACTGAGATCAGCAAGATACAATGCAGATTTGTATATTCAAAATTGAGGAAGGCTGTCATTCAGCATGCATGCCCCTTTATATTTCCCACTACAAACACAGAATCAATGGAGTAGCACTTACCAAAGGCACAAAGTAGCTGCAGTAGTTCCACAGACGTTCTCGTATCAGCATCCAGTAGCACAGTACCTCAAGATCACAGCTTTCTATAGGAATAGATTAGAAATTTTATCATGATATAGTGCAGGCCTTTCCAATTGGGTATTGCTCTCATAATGTTTGCAGTGAGATAATATAAATAAACACTAGCACTTGAAAAATCTTTGTCCTGTAGAGTGTAACCACAGATAAAAGATAAACTTTAAATCATTACATTACAGAAGCTGGTAACCTCTGACCTCTTACTCATCTCTGCTATTCTGCTTTAATAGAGCTGGTTACACTGTGTGGAGTTCAAATAGAATTGCAGTCCAGATATAGCTTTTTACAGTCTTTTTAACTGGAGTTTTCAGCGGTTTTATATACTAACTTTAGTTAGATGAAAAAATGCTCTTAATGTGTTAAATGAGATTAGGGCAGGAGGTATGTTGAACTGTCCTTACACTTAGTGCTTAGTTGTCAATTGTCACTAATTGAGGTTTGGCCTTTGAAAAAGCATTTTTATTGAAATAAATCGTGAAGGGGGTCTAGCTGATAAATCTTACGTATAGGAAGAATTGACATATATCAGCTGACATGGAGTGTAAATTGTCTGAGCTTTCCTGCCTTCTAAGGAAAACTCCTGTTGTTTCATCTCCAAACAGCCAGGACTGTAGCACCAAGGCCTGCTTATTGATGAAGATGAATATTACTACTGATATTTGTATACCATAGAGGCAAATTTAATGTAGCAAAGATAGTCTCTCTGGAATTCTGAAGCTTGTTCACCCATTCCTTGAAATTGTATGTAATCTTAAGTGGATATTGAAAACCAATTTCTGGGTGCAAAGAAAACAGATTATTTCTTCCTGCATTGTGAAGTAAATTTTCATGTTTCATAAACACAGAATGTAATGCATCTTTATATTGAAAGAGGAGATATTTTTCATATTAGTGGAAGTTTTTCAGGATGGGGGAGGAAAAAGGGTAATACATGAACATGAAGATCATGGAACGTAAGAGCTATCCATACTGTATTTAATAATAAACCACTAGTCTAAATTGTAATACCACACCCAGGTTCAAAATATAATTATCAGATCTCAGTTTGTAGAGACTTTTAGGTTTGTATCACATATAAAACTATCTATAAATGCAACTGCCTAGCTTTACCGCCTTAATTGTAAGAATGTTTTTAATGTTAATTAAATTTAATTTAATGTTTTATATTTGAGAGTGAAGAGCAGACACTGGCATGCCATTTAAAAAGCTGCACTCTCCAGATTGTCTTCTAGTGGTTGTTTGTCAGTTCTGTAGAACTCAGAAACCACTCATCACAAAAATTCTTCACGATTAAGAACAAGATATGGAAGGCATATTTATTGTGCCTTTTTACCATCAGGAGCTATTAAACATTAGGAAGTTAGAAAATAAACTTGGTATCATTTTGCAAAAAAGTGACATATTCAAGTTAGACATAAAGTTGCACATGGGGAATCAAGGATTGGTAGAGAAATCACCTGAAACTACATCTGATATGCAAAATAGATTCAGCAGCTGTGGGACTTTTATCAGACTGTCTGTGAGTTAGAAAATAAACTTGGTATCATTTTGCAAAAAAGTGACATATTCAAGTTAGACACAAAGTTGCACATGGGGAATCAAGGACTGGTAGAGAAAGACACCTGAAACTACATCTGATATGCAAAATAGATTCATAGCTGTGGGACTTTATCAGACTGTCTGTATTTTAGATGTAAAAGAAGTACATCAGCTGAGAAATCTAGCTGCAAATCTTCACACCTTCAGTATTTACCTCCATGTTTTTCTTTTCTTAGACTATTGGTCTGTCCATTTACGTGCTCCTTAGTACACATCTTGACAAGTGGAAAAAAGTTTTGAGAATGGAAAAAGTTAAAATACCTGGTAAAAGTAGTAAATTGTGCATTATTGCAAAATTTCAGGTCCAATTACAGTATGTGCAAGCATACAGCAAGCAAAGTGCTTGTAAGAGCACACTAAGTAAAGCATTGCTGAACTTGGTTCTTGTTGCATATTTAGCAACAAGGAGGGCAGTAATTCCCTCTCAATGTTAAGATTTACACAACAGTAAATAAGCTATTTTCGGTGATATAGACGGAGTCACATACTTTTGGACTGTTTTTCCTGGTACAGCTAGCAGCAAAATAATAGGTGGAGCATAAACAGCAAATAAAGATGTGAACATAAAGAGGTGATAATAACAGAACTGTGAAACGAAAATGGTAAGTCAAATATGTACCATGGAGGTTGATTTCAGGAGGTGCAGTATTGTGTGTACTTGAATTAGAATGCTGGATGCATACAGAGAACTGTTCTGTCACTGCCTGGGAAGAAAAGTTCAGTGACAACTTTCCCAGGCAGTGCCAAAAGGAGTTATGTGCTTAAAGTAAGCTAGTTTTAGCATTTGGTCATGTTTTCTCTTCCTTGTCCATCTTTAGTCTTCATTATTGATTTAGTCTCCCTGTCACCTCATTTCAAAACTTTTGCTTATAGGTGACTTTATTTGGACTTCGATCATCAAGGGCAGCAACAAACCACAGTGAACATTTTACTTGTAGCAGAGTATTATGCAGAAGGAAATTGATCAGTTTCATACATCAAACTCAATCAGAAAGGTATCCTCTAGCAGTCAGCTCACATACAGTGACTGAACCTTTCAGTCACTTGCAAAGCCTTTAAATTTGTAGTGAAGAATCAGCTGAAAAGCATTTTCTGCTATTTCACCTTATTATTTAATATCTCCCTTTGCAAATGAATGCGAACATAGCAAACCTGAACGAGGGATTGCAGGGTCTCACGACACTGAATTGTCCATGTCTAAGTGATCTGATTGGCTATGTTCATATGTCTAGAGAGGTCAGATACTAAAATAGCATATACCTTTGCCTAAATTGCTTCTACAGCCTGTTTCCCTTTTTACATCTGGAATTTGTTTTAAAGGGAAAGAGGGGTGTGGGGGGGGGAGTAGAGACACAACAGTCTTAACAATATTTTCCGAGGCTAACTCACCTCGGCACAGGAAGCTGTTGGTGCTTTGTCTGCCTCTCTCTTCCCCTCACACACAGCACGCTCACTGCTGAAAGAAGGACTGAGACTATGCTCACAAAAGCAGGCTGAGTAAGAAATGGAAAATCATAGACCGTGATTAGCATCAGCTTGAAAACATCCATTGTTTGCTTGCAATTCTGTGCCTGTGAATTTCAGCCAGACCACAGCAAGGATTTTGTGAGTTGCTTTGCAAGGTGAAGCTCAAACACTGCTGATTTCAAAGAGCAGAGATGCTTATTAAGATGCTGTATAGATCAAAGTCAGTTCTATTTTTACATTTTTAAAAAAATAGAGAGATTCAGCTGAATGCACAGCCTCTTGGCTGGCTTGTAGAAGAGGCAGTGATTTCCAGTAAATAACAGCTGATGTATTCTCCATTTTTGAAGCGGTTTATTCCTAAGTCACAGGGATTCATACCCATCCTTCTTTTTGCGCATGTTCCACGCTGGTTGGTTGTGTGGATGGATTAACTGTGACAAGCTGTGACATCAGCAGAGGCTGGATGCTGCCTGGCTCTGTGATTTTGTAATGCATCCTCCTCTTACTGCTGGGCTGACTCATTCCTGCTGTAGGGTGACTGAATTGTGCAAAGCGTGGGCCAGCACCGACTGAAGTGGTGGGCATTGTGCTTCTCTGCAGAGGCTGTGCCTTAATTGTAAAGCAAGAAGATTTTCAAACCTCACTTACACAAATGATAGAGCTGAGAAGCAAATGCAGAAAAATATTAATGTTAATAAATAGACACAGAAGTGGTGAAATACACAGGTTATTTAGTGTGGGTGTGATAGTCTCTGGCCTTTGAAGAAGCCTCTGTTTTAGGTTTTTAGTCAGCAAGGCATGTGAAAAACACAGGCTGTGTTTTGTCTGGGGACGACCGGGGAGGAAGAATCAGTGTTCGTCAGCCTGAAAACTATCAAGTTATCATGGTTATTTTGTGAACATGAGCCAATTTACCTGTAATGATCATGGGAAGTGAGAGCAAGTGGAACAAGAAGAGGGTGGAAGCAGTTCTAGTGTGAGTACTATATTGTTAGTTTCCACTCAGTTAAGGAGGGGGAAGTGTTGTTTATTAATAATCCAGGAGTCTACTGATTTCTTAGTTGTTGATCTTGTACTTAAACCTGAAATACCAGACTGGTAGATTTTTTGGTTGACACTGGCAAGACACTGGCAAGACCTGAAGAGAATTCCTGAGAATTCAGCCTCTGGAAAGGTGAATGTTAATGTTAATGAGGGTTATTCGGCCCTTTGCATACTCTGAGGTAACATTTCAGTAGCTCACAGTTCCTTAGGATCTGCTTTTAAGGTCCAGAGGTTTCTAAAGTACTCAGCAGAACAAGAAGCTTATGTAGACAGTTGGTGGGTTTGGAGCAAACAAAGTCTTTGTAAAAACCTGACCTTTAAACTGGCTTCATTTCATTCCTCATAGCTGCAAAAGTAATTACAAAAACTAAGGAGGTGGGATCCTTTCGTGTTGTAAGAGGCACTTTGGAGGACAGCAAATTTCCATTCTGAAAAAAACTTGCTGACACTTTCTGTCCAAAGCTTTTGACCTTCATCTTGTAGATGCTCTCCTCTTAAGCTTACATGCTTCCTTGTCCATTTAACAGCATGTTCTGGCTAAAAGCAGGACAGGTACTTCTGAAGACCTTTCCTTCTGGGGCACCTTGTAGTAGAAAGAATTTGAAATGGCATAGATTACTGTTGTTTGTTCCCCCAACAGTTACTGTTGTGGGAACCTTTGGAAGTTTATTGTTTGCTTGCAGTGAACAGCTTGACTTTAGACACTAATGTCCTTTCCAGGGTAGAAGGACAGTCTTGTGTGTTCTGGAGTTTTACGATCTATAAAATGACATAATGGAT